AATGATACTACGGCAGCTTCTATTTTAGACCAGACAGATCTATGTAGGGCCACCTTGGTCTTTTGCTGCCAAAGCTAAGCCTTGTCGCAGCTCAATAGGGCTGGCATAGGTCGAGGCACCTAGCAAATGACCTTATTTCTATTGGCGTAGTTTACTTCTGGGCTATATGACTTTTTATACCGACAACGATTTGCCTGCCTTGTTCAGGCAAATTGTCTTCTGCACGTTGCTGGACGTTACCTATCGCATTGGCGCAGGGTTTATAATGGGTACTGGTGGTCTTTCACGCGCCTCTTGTCTGTTTCTTTTCACTTTTCACCCACCTGGGCTGAAAGACCCGATGGGGTTCCGGGGGGCTCGAAGACTGGATATGGCGTCAAGGAGTTTTATTTGCATTGTTGATGTCTTGCTACCACGGCCTGACTGAATGATTCATTTTGCCACACGGGTTAAATGCACGTTAGCCAAGAGCGGCAGGCACAGTGAGGATATACTTTTTTTGTTCTTTTTTGGTAATGTTTTTGGCGAAGAATATGGGTTATGCATGAAAAATGGACGAGCAGGATAGGTTGAATCTCTTCAACATTGTTCGATATTCATTTATACTTAGATAGACGGACGCCGCGGAAAAAGAGGTGGCGGCGGGGTATTTCCAACACGGTGTTATACAATACTCATGCCAAGGCAAAAATAAAGAAACCAATCTAAACTATAACTATTCAACAACTCTACGTGACTAGAACGTCTGAAAATGGAGGGACAAACATGTTATTTTGTGATGTTATGTGATGTTATGCTAACACAAACGCTATCATAGCGCCCAAATGGCTCAATCTCAAAACCATGCCAGCATAGTTGGTCATTCTATCCATTGCTTTTCCGTAATCCGTTCCAAAATCGTTCGTCATTAGAATAAAGATATGAAAATCATCAAAACAATTTGCCTCGCCGTGGCGGGCTGGTATCCGCGGTTCCCATGAAATTCAAGTCATAAGAGAGTGAGAATGCATCCATCCAAGTAAGAATATGATCAGTACACGCTACCCCGGATACTTCGATCCTCCTTCTCCGCGCGATCCAAATCCTCAACAAGTTCAGCGTCACCGTCACAAGAGGCATCGGTAGATGCATCACCAAGACGGTTAGTCCTTGCATATTCATCCGGGCTATCCTTATCGCTCGTGTATGCTAGATGTTCGGGACCGGCTTTGAGGAGGGGTTTCTGATTGTATGAAGGCTTCTCGCTTCTTTCGCCAATGGTCCTGTTTAGTTGCGCGTTCAAGGAGGCAATGCGGTGTAAGCTTATGTTCTCATCCTCTGACGAGTCGTTGTCAGTCTCGGCGGCAGATGTGTGGCCCGAATAGCTGCCGCCCCCATCGCGGCCAATATGCAAGTATGGCGACTGGATATACTCGCTGGCAGAGATGACTGAGGGTGTATCATTGAGGTCAGAAACAGATTTGCCTTCATGGTTTGACGAGATATCGATTTCTGGTCCATCATCATGAGCTCCGAGGGTGGTGCTCTCCATGTTGGTACCAATGCAGTCTAATTGGGCCTTCTGCTTCCGGCTGACGATGGTAATGACCTCGTCCGGGTTTGTAATTTTGCCATAAGGCTCTGGCCCGCCGTTCTCATGATCCTTTTTGCGCATCATGTCCAAATCCTCACGCTTAGCATAGTGGCGACTATGATCACAGCCATTGGGACATCCACCCCATCTGCGTGTAACAACAAAAGTTTTGGTGCGTGGGAGTTTCGAGCTGTCCTTGTCCTTGTCCTCTTTGTCTTTACGTTCTCGCCGCAGATCGGACCAAGTTCGTAACTTGTTCTCTAGAAGATACTTATTGTTTTCCTCCTTGCGCATGATGAGGAACTCGCAGTGGTTGATGTTTCGGAGATCCTCAAAGTACTCGACCGTGAAATGATACCATTTCATGAGAAAGACACGGGACATGAGTCCGTGGGTCACTAACAAATGTACTGTTAGTAAAGGCGCAAAGCTGGTTGGTGAAATACGTACCAAGTACACAGACGCTGGGGAAATCATCTTCGCCAAATTGTCGCCAGAGACTCTCATTGAAACCGCTCACACGGTCGTAAGCATCAGCAGCGCTCTCCCCATTGGGTATACGGTAGAAGAAGTGGCCATAATCGGCCCTCTCTTGCCACATACGTTCCATTTCAGCGCTGCATGGTTGGAAGTTACCAAAATCCTGCTCACGTAGCCGAGGCTCTTCGTACACCTTGATGTTAGCTCGGCGGAAGGGCGACGGGGAGCCTTCGTCCGAGGTCAAGCTCTCGAGGATACCTTCTGTTGTTTCGCGTGTGCGGCGGTATGGAGAGGTAAAGAACTGTAAGGTGTCATCGGGACGGAGGAGGCTTCGGAGACGACGTCCGGCATCGTGGGCTTGGTTCCAGCCTTCTGGCGTAAGTTTGACTCGGTGATCGGGAACGGTCTGGTGAATTTCTCGGTTCTCTTTATAACTGTCAGCACGTGTTGAACAATGAGGGACGAAAAAGCCAGTGCATTAACGTACTATTGCCTTCGGACTGGCCGTGGCGAACTAGAATGATCAAGCGTGGCTTGGTCATGATGCTTTGGGGATTTGATATAGAGGGGTAGTCTTTAAGTGATTGAGCGTGTCTCTGATAAGTCGAAGGATGAGCTTGATATTCCGGGGTCCTGAGGGCATTCACAATAGCTGTATAAGTTGAATGGAGGGTTTCAAGTTGTGAAAGTGGTTGGGTCAAGACGGGATAGAATATGGCGGAGTAGGGGATAGATAGTTTTGCAATTGGTCAGCCAAAGCATAGGTAGGCAGGAGTCACCAATTATGAATCCTGAGAGAGAAGAGGATGGAAGTTTAGAAGACAGCACCGGAGCTAAGCGTCATAAAAAACAAACGAAGAAAAGCTAAAGGAAGATGAAGCGTAGATTGCAACGTCTTTTTTTAGTGAGGCTTGTCTAATCCCGTAGTTGTTGGCGCAAGCTCACGAGACATCCCGACCTGAAGCAGCCATCAGAGTGAGGGCAAGTGCAAGCCCACCCATGCCATGCCATGCCATGCCATGCAACCATGTTTCCGAAGAAAAAAAAACGCCCCGCCAAAAATGCCGGGATAGACCCCCCACCACCACCTCAGCCCAGCTGGAGCAAGGAGGGGAAAGGATGTGTCCGCCTATCTACCTATGGACCACGTATCGTGCACTCTTAACCTTCTATCCGAGCGGAGAGGCGGCGCCGGGAAACGGGAGGACAATCCAAGGGTGCTGTACTTTCGAGGTAGGTACCTGCATCCTCGTTTGGGGGCCGGAGCCGCCCCGCCATCTGTCGACCGAAACAGAAAAACAGCTTCTCAGTCGTCAACGGTCAAGCCTCCAAGCGCACAGTGATTGACCAATGACAATGGAGACCATATTCAAGCTGGTCATCACACAGAGATAGAAACAGCCCATAAGAGTTGGGGAGATGGACTAGTCTCAACCAAATCTTTCCGAATCCCTGCTAATTATTACGAACGAAGCAAAGGCACAAGGGGCAGCTCCCCTCCCCATGGCACGATCTGGAGATGGGGCCCGCAAACGGTTCTTGCTACCTAATCATGATTAAAGCGAAAAACGTGCTGGGACAATCTGGCGATACAAGTCCGAAGACTGATACGATTCGGTGTTTGACCTGTTTATGACCTTGAGTTATTCCGCCCGCGGACGGACATCGCATGGCGGCGGGCAATATCCGCTGATATCAAATCATATGATTTACCATTCCCGTACCCTTGGAACTGACTTGATCCTTCTTTGCTCTCCCTTGTCAAAGATACTGAGAATCTGGCAATCTGGTGTTGGTTAGCCAATCCTGGAGATCTGCAGAGCCAGACTGAGTAATCCCGGCCACTGTAGTAGACAGTTTGAGTCACGACGGCACCCAAAGTTCATGTTCATGCCTCTCCCATGCATGCATCTCGCTTTGTTCCTTTTCCATTTTCTTGTTTTCTTCCGGTCCTCCCGTCGATATGATCATGATAAATCTCGTGGTATTTACCTATGTTCCGCCGGCTAATTACCATCTATCAGATCTAGACGGGCCCTTGCTTGTCTTGGACCATCTGGATTCAATTGAAGAATGACGGCTACAGCGGAACATGGTGAGGTGATGTGATCTGCAACGGGAAGCGCCCAGCCGCCGATTGCAACATCGTATAACTGGATAAAGTCGCTCAGAGACGATCTGATACTGACTCTGACCGGTGGCTTTTGTCTTGCATTTACCCCTTTTGCTCCCGCCTGCATTACTGATGCATTCTGCAACGAAGATAGTTGCTTTTCCTGACTGCAAACAATCACATGTTCATTACGCAGAGTCGCTTTGTGGCTTGCTGACGCGGCTTGGAACTTTTTCGTGCCTGAGATGTCAATTCAACTGCCGCGCGCTTATCAGGCGACCCTCAGACACCCACTCTGGTGCGATCAACCTTTCCCCCCCCCAGCGGCTGCTTAGGCTAATTCTTGGTAACCTTGCTTTGGAAATCAAGAAAACATCAAACCTTGGTATGGGTGTCAAAATAAACTCTGCAAACGGTATCCTAAACTTGAACCAAGTTAACTTAGTCTTTTTATCACTTAGGACGAGGTTCCGAGTTTTCTTTCCCCCCTAGTCTTATACCTAAATCAACGCCACTCTCATCAGATCCTGGCTGGCATCCACTATATTCGATTTATCCTACCCATCAACAAAACCAACACAACCATCTAGCATCTGCGGGCCATTGCTCTCTTCACGTGCCAACCGTTTGACCGCTCCATTGAGAGGTTCTTGTCTCAATCAATCAATCATTCAACGGACTCCAGTTCACCCGACGATCCTTTACCTATTCAGGCTATCTAACGCGCCCGTCGACGTCTCATTCTCACGCGTGCCTCAGCCCATTTTCATCTTCCCTTAGATCAGGCATCGGATAACCAACACTTCTTTGACTCATTCTTCTCTTTTCTCCAAGATGTCTGCTCCTGGTCCCGAATCGGTACCAACGTCGGCCGATCCCCGATCCCATCGCCCTACCAAGAAGCGCGCTCTTACGCCCATCTCAGCGCAAGCCGCCTCGGTAGAGGCCCTCTTCTCAAAGCCCGACCAAATCATCCGTATCCCCGAGTCCTCTATCTCCGGCTCCGGCTCCGGCAGCTCTGCCTTGCGTTCCGCCCCTCCGGAAATTGTCACCAATGTTCAAGGATCTAGTGCAGGTGCCGGATCAGGCGAGTTTCATGTGTATAAGGCGAGCCGTCGGCGCGAGTATGAGCGTCTGCGCAGTATGGATGAGGATCTTCGCCGCGAAAAGGACTTTGAAGAGTTCAACAAGGACAAGACTGAACGCGATCGCAAAGATGAAGAACGCACGCGCAAGAATCGCGAGAAGAGGGAGAAGATGAAGGCCCGCAAATCTAAGAAGGGCAAGGGCCCTGCTATCACTGACAAAACGCCCAACGCGACACAGTCCAAAGATGCCTCCTCAGTCGCGGAAAACGATGCTGAGAAGGACACTGTTGATGTCAATTCTAAGACCAAGACTGAGCATGGTGGGGACGATACAGAATCAACGCCATCGATACAACCTACAGGACTAGTTATTCACGATGAAGACGACTAAACAAAAAGCAATGCAAAAGGCCAGTAGCCCAAGAAGTCGTGCCCTGTTGCACCAAAGTGGCAGGGTCGAGAAGGGCGCTTTATCGGAATCAGACTTGAGACCTAAATTATTGGAGGAGAATGGCTCGCAAGGGCATCGTAAGTAGACGCAACAGTATTCCTTAAACAGGTAGTTTTTTATGATACCCATTTCTTTCCTTTGAGAAGAGTCACCGGAGCTATGTCGTGCTAGCTCCGGCGCCCACTATGTTCACATTTTGCTTGTTTGTCTATTTTGCTCTTTCGGCTAGTACAGAGGGGTATGACCAGTCCATCCAAACAGACATTCGTATAAGCAGTCCGAATTACACGCCTGCCTATCCCACTATCGCTCACTCACATACAGACACATCAGAATTTCCATCTACAAACATGCTCTTTCTCTTTATTCTTCACCACCCCCGCCACCAATCTGCGCAGCCTTCTTGGCACTGCAAATGTCATCAACTCGGAGCAAAAGGCAAGCAGCCTGTTCAGATCGTCAGTATCCTCATCTGTAGTTGTAAATGACAGGGAATGCCGTGAAATGCTTACCTCGATGGCGGTCTTGATACTCTGGAGCTTGATAGCCTGAGGCTCCCACACTCCGTATTCCTTCATATCTGCAATGGCACCTGTGTCACCGTTGACACCCCAAGTGCTCTTACCCTCGGCCTGCTTGGCTCGGAGATCTGTCAACACACGGACAGGGCTCTTACCAGCGTTCTGGACGAGAGTTCGAGGAATAACCTCAAGAGCATCTGCTACAGCCTTGTAGGGCCACTGCTGGACACCCTCAATACTCTTGGCGAGTTGACCCAACCTCACGGATACAGCCATCTCTGTAGCACCACCACCAGGCGATAACCTAGGAGAGAACATAACATTTCGTGCGACACCCATGGCATCCTGGAGGTTTCGCTCGATCTCGTTGAGGACATCCTTGGAGGGACCTCGGAGAAGGACTGTGCAGGCCTTAGGGTCCTGGCACTTGGTAAGGAATGTGAAGTACTCGTCTCCGATCTTCTCAATCTCGAACAAGCCACATCTGGTACCGACATCGGAGTCCTGGAGATCCTCTACTCTGTTGACGATGGTGGCACCGGTAGCGCGGGCTATTCTGTTGTTATCGGTCTTTCGAACTCGGCGGAGAGCTGTGATGTTGGCCTTCATGAAGTAGTGCTGGGCAAGATCTATGACGGAGATTAGTAAGCATGCTCCTTAGGAGTCAGGGATTCGGAACGCACCAGACACTCCCTTCTCCGTAATGACAAGATCAGGCTTAACGGCGACAATGGCCTCGCACAAAGCCTTGACCTGTTCCTCTTCAATCTGCAGAATTCGATTCCAGTCATCCTCTTTGGTAATCTCGATGTTGGTTTGAGACTCGCCCTTCTTGTACTCAAGGGGGCAGTCGAGGAGAACGATTCGGGGGTTCTCAATGCGCCGGCGCATCTTGGGATGTGTGATATCCTTGTTGAGCATAAGACCGTCAAGAACTCTGCTGTCCTCAATCTCACCGCCAGGGACCTTCTCCACTCTGGCATATCGCTTGATGTCGACTTCAGTCTTGCCGTTACCAGCCTCCCATGTCACAGTGCGGACCGCCTTGAGGGCGAGGTCGCACATCTGATCCATCCATCGAGCAACGAACTTGGTGCCAATTGAAGAAGAGATGAGCTGGTACATGGCCTTATCGTCATTGACATCGATCGGCAGAGAGATCTCCTCGATGATCTCAAGGGCGTCTTTGAGGGCTCGCTTGAAGGCGGAAATGATGACGACAGGGTGGATGTTACGGTCGAGCTGGGGAAGAGCTTGGGCGAGAATCTCACCAGCTGCGGATGATGTCAGTGATACGCTCAGCTAGCAATGCAGTATAGCCATGCTCTCTTACCCAGGATAATGACGGTTGTCGTTCCATCCCCAACTTCCTCGTCTTGTGTCCGGCTGAGCTCAATCATGCTCTTCGCGGCAGGGTGGGAGACCTCGATTTCTCGAAGGATAGCATGTCCGTCATTTGTGAGAACGATGCCGCCCATGGGGTCGAGCAGCATCTTGAGCATGGCCTTGGGGCCGAGGCATGATCGAATAATGTCGGCAACACTAGGATCGCTGGTTAGGGTCGGGCACGCGACTCGAGGACAGGGACAATGGCATACGTTTTGGCAGCAGCAATATTGGACAGCTGGGCTTTCCGGCCAGTCTGCCTCTCACCACTGTTGGTGTCTATAGAATCTCAGTCAGCCTCGATTCCGAACTGAAAGAGATACTGGAAGCTCCCCTCTCAGGCTCAGGGCCCAGGGGCTCGCCCTCTAGTGTGGGGGTTATATGTTTCGTAGAGGTAAGACTCACTCATAACCACCACCGGAGCCTGCATGATGGGCGAGGTTTTTGGTGTTTCTTCGGCTCAACAGTATAATTCTCTTTCAAGTGACGACAGCAGATTCGATCAGGCGTGGTTCGAAGAAATGAAAGGTGACGGGTTGTCGGTGTCGGAGGGGCAAAAGGCTAAAAGAACAGTTGTTGAGGGGCGCGCACATACAGAAAAGTTCAGTGGTGGATGTGGATATGGAGGATTTTTGGCGGGGACCTGGAGGCTCCCATCCTGCTTGCGCTCTCTCGGCTTTGGTATTAACCCGCCCCGCCTTGCGTTTGCTTAGTAGCTCCTGGTAACTTAGTAGGTAATCGTAATTTTTGGCCAGCTCATGACCTGTCATAGAGTCCCCTGGAAAACGAAGGCGACCAATCATATAAGCCAAGAGCCGCTGAGCTTGGAGCTCCCCTCCATCAATCGAGCTTGTACTCCGTAGTTGGAGAAGAATTGTCCATGATACAAGACTTTCCCATCATCATTGTGGCTGTTTCGAGGTATCTACTACGTACTGAGCTACTCCAAGACAAGGTATAAAGCAGTCCAAGACATTGAAACACAAAATTAACCTCCTTCTTGTCTGAGTTAACCCCATTCTGATTCCTGACCATCCAATTGCAGTACATGATGGCTGCGAAGAGAGCAGTCCAATCCATTCTGCCTAAATCACAGCCCCCAGCCTGGACAGCCTCAAAGCGCATCACAGAGTTCATAGCACACGTTACCCCTGTAACATCGCCATCAGAGGCCAATCTCTACGTTGAGTCTCTTCTTGAATCAGATAAACGTATACGCAACGCAACGCACAATATCACGGCGTGGCGTATTAGAGGCGAGGGCACTGGCCATCAGCAATTCAATGACGATGGTGAGACGGGAGCCGGATCCCGACTCCTGCAGCTGATGCAGTCCATGGATCTTTGGGATTCCATGGTTGTAGTTACACGTTGGTATGGGGGTGTCCATTTAGGATCCAAAAGATTCAGATTGATCACTTCCGTGGCCAGTGACGCCTTTGCGAGAGCTGGTATGTCTGGAGACAAGAAGGATGCTACACCTAAAGGAAAGAAACACAAGTAGTGCGAAATGCCGGATTGCGCTGGCTGACTATGGAAGAACAGGCCAGGCCTGTATTACTTGCGTAAGCCATCTAATTCTCGGTCAAACCTGTTTATATGCTAACATCTCTACACCAGTTGCTAGGACTAAGCCTCAGTCTCTATAGGCCATTCTGTTCTCCTTCATTCAGTGCCTCAGTCTAGTCAAATGCCGCCTTCACTCCAATCTAATTCCAATAGGTATTGTAGCGGTGACATCCATCCGCATCTCACCTCAGCGCCTCTACGACAAGCAAATGCTGATGATACCTGCATGCGACTTGATATCAAACTCTGTTGGTCGATCATACTCAATTTCGCTGGATCTCATTGCGCAACCCAGATGCTGCTAAGGCCGTCTTGGATTGATAGTTCCCGACACCCGGATTGGACATCGAAGTTCGCCCAGTATTACCCTTTGGTACTTGAGGTGCGACTTTGATCCATTTACCTCCTTTCTTGGACTTGGCCTCAACGAGACAAATGTCTCCTGACATGAGCGCTTGAACATAGTGCCAGAGATCCCGATCGCTGATGGCTTTCTCACCAAGCCGATCCCACCAGGATTCGTCGGTAGAGTAGATGGAAGCATTCTCTATCCAGAGAAAGTCTGGAGGGAACTTCTTCATGAACCATGGATGGGGCGTCACTGCAAAAGTCGGAATCCCCTTCTCACTGTATCTCCATTCGAGCGTCAATTGGCGTGTCGCTTCTTGGGTGTAAGATTCCAAATTAAGTCGTCCGAAGTCTCCAAGCTGTACAGAGGCATCCTGCTGGGACGGCCCTTTGCTTTTGGCTTGAGGAACGGCCAAGGGCGGGTCCCATTCTTCCTTGATCTTCTTGATCTTAGACGTGGGAATGGCAAACACCATGGTGGCATCGCCCGTGCGATACTTCTCTGGCACAGGGCCTTTGATATCAAGAAGCGGCTTGACAATTTTAAACCACCTCCATCTCTGTTGTTGCAGGGGGCTTCCGCATGTACTTCAAATCGGCAATCAGTATTGTGCTCATATTCGCCCCTAAAGGTAACTCACACGTTTGCCTCATATAAAGTGATGCTGCCTTTTCGAGCATCTAGCTTGAGGGCATCCAGACTGTCTGCGATCTCGGCTGATACTGGACTGTGTGTACCGAGGCTCACACTTCGTTTTAGCATCTTGTTCCTTACCATGTCATGCTTGAAATGAAGTGAGTCAAGCTCAAGTTTCCAGTACCCGAAGCGGCGGCATGCCCATTCAAGCCACGCCATCAACCCTTCCGAATTGAGAGGAACAATTAGAGACGAGTCATTTTTGTTTGGAAGGGGCTCAACACGCATGAGGCGCTCAGGATAAAGATCAATAATAGGGAAGGGTGCATAACGATTGTTGTTGGTAGATCCAGTAATGACATGGAGACGCTCACTAGCTACTCGTCTAGGAAGAATTGTAAGTATGGACTACCAACACGGATATGTGATTATGGTGGTCACTCACACCGGAACCTCCCGGGCCTTGATATGCTGAGACCTCTTCTTAAGAAATTCGCCTCGCCCAGTGGCTCCAGGCGCGTTGTTGATCAGCTCATGGTTGACCATCTCCGCTACCTGTCGATTGTCGACTCCTTCGGAGTGAAGACGAGAAAGGTCAGGCATCATATGATAATGAATATCCATTTTCGTCATCATTCCACTGATCGTCATGGTATCCATGGGCTGCGGTCCTGGGCTTCCTTGCGAGCCTTGTTGAAGCACATCTTGTGTAGCATTCGTATGTGCTAGGTTGTTGGCAAAGCCCATGGCGATGCCCTTTCGGAGCTTCTCGCGAACAGACAGAGTGCTAAGATGCTGCTGGGAGAGATCATGGTTTGTGTATCGATAAAGAGTGGCGTGCTCTTCGTCTTGTTCCTCTTCTTGTTGTTGCGGGTACGTTCTCTGACGGCTGGCGGCAGGACGAAGCGGATAGCTAGCAGCGAATGATCCAGCAGTTAGTCCCGAGCCTGGCTCCACGATCTTAGGAACTTTGGTCTCATTTGACTTGCGCTGCGTGGCGGACATGTTCGAGAACCTTGGCCGGTGGAAAGCTGCAGGGTCTGTTTCTCTCATCGTCCCCCCCGGCGATTCAACAACATATATAGCTCGACACCTCTTCGTGTTTTGAGGTTCAGGCCGTGGGCTAAGCAAATGCTTGCCCTTGGTACTTAGCAAGCTCACCATATTTGTAGCAGCGGAGGCAAATCGAGTGTTGGAGAGTTGTTTAGAACAATGGAGTTGCCGCACACACTTCTCTCCACTATAACACCTGCGGTATGGAGATGACGGTATCACCAGTGTGCGAAGATGAAGAACAATGGGATGAAAGGTCGGCTGAATAATCGACAATGGATGAAGAAGTGTGGAGCGATGTTGCCTTTGGGGATGGAAGGCACCCTCTGAATCATCCACTCGCTATCGCTGCCCTCGGTCGATGAAGGCATCACAAAAGCGTGGTTATGATAGAGTTGGTGACCCTGTAGAAACTCGCCGATACCTCTTGTTTTTGAGAACACTGCCACAGTGTTTAAGTATCTAATCGGCCAGTTGTGTCATGTAGACAAAGTTTCATTGTCTTGCGATTGTTGCCTACTAAAACACTACACAAATGCTTCAGAGTTGTCCTTGCTGTGTCGCAAATTATAAAAACCTACAATCGTCCCATATGATTGATCTACAAAACTTCAAATCCGTTGATTTTCTCTAAGAGCGTAAATGTTAATGTCGTGATTAAACGATGTCACTCACGTTGCTAAGCGTAGAGTCGATGAGGAAATGCCACTATCCGCAAAAAGTGGTTACACAAGATTTGTTTGGCCAGAAATTATAACAATCCTCATTGAATTTCAATAGAAAGATGCCTCACTATGGGTGTTGATCGTGATTCACAGCCATGGGTTAATAACAAACTGAACATAGCAATCTACCTTGGCATGACACAATATATACCAAACTCTTGGATTGGAGAAACAATACGATGGCTATTTGCTTTGCAATACACCTTTAGCAATAGAGTACTCATTTATAGACATATTACGAGCTAAAATAGTTTTGATAAGTGATGAGAAATCATTTAGCCAATATCTTAGTCCAAGCTCTGGGAGAAGAAAACGAGCTAGCCCTTTGTTATATCGTAACACTGTAATAGTGAATCTCTTTCAAACAGTTCTTTGCTAGAATACTGAACGAAATCCTCATCAGTTCTTGATTGGAGCAGCGGCCACTTGACAGCAAAATATATGTCTCCACCATCAATGCAAGTCGCCAAGTAGGCCAATTTGGACTCGTCTTGGCAGAAAGCTCACCGTGGTCGCAGTAATTCCTTTTCTCACCTCTTCTTCAGAAGCTCTTGACATGATTATAAATAGTATATAATATGCAATCTGGCTTGCTTCGAAAGACTATTCTCTGAATGCAGAGCACAAGTACAAGTGCTACTCAATTTTTGTATCAGGCATGAACATACAGGAACATCGCCTGTGTCTTATTCTAAAAAGCTTGCCTTGCATGACTGCCGTCATCCGGTCTGGTTATTTATGGAAGAACTTTTAGCCAAAATCTTATCTGATGAAAATGTTACAGAGCGTCAAGAACCAGGGCTTCGGGATAACGGACGACCTGGATAGGCTCCACAAAGGTCAAGCTGACGTAGTCCATTGCCACGTATTTGAATATAAATTCACGTATATTGACCTTGGCAGACTATTTTAACTTGGAGGACTTCTCTACGTTGGTAGTTATACGGTTGGAGGGACTTAGACTCAAGGTAATAGACATGGCATGGCACATATTCAGTGCCTCACCTTCTCAGACAAGAGTAAACCAAGAGCACTACTATCAGATTCCATTCAGATGAGGTATTTAAAACTCAGCCATGCCATGACAACAGTGCTGAACTAGATGTCTTAATGTCTGTCGATCCCCATCTGATAACTTTCAAGAACAAGCTTAATGTTACCCTTACCCACCAGCAATCCACTCAGCGTCGGCACTTATGCTAGATGCAGCAATAATATGTGGGGAGTTTATCAATCTCATCTAATCTCTTACAAGACCCTTTGCCCACGATGGATATAAAAAGGACAATGGCAAGTCTTCAAGACTTGCTTTTCAGAACATTTCCTCTCTGTCTTGGCCGGCTCTGAAAATGAAGTTCGCCACTATTATCAGCTCGGCTCTGCTGGGCCTTGCTTCTGCTGGTAACACTACTACCCGGAAACCCACCTACGACTACATCGTAGCCGGTGCCGGAGCGTCGGGTTTGGTTGCTGCCGAGAGGCTTGCCAATGCTGGCCACAAGGTTCTTCTTGTTGAGCGTGGTGGTCCTTCATTCTACTCAACAGGCAATCGGGATGACTTGATGAAGTGGAACAAAACCGTAACCGCATACGATGTTCCAGGCATGGCCTACTACACCGATATCTCACCAACTATTCAGTGGTGCACAGACATTGCTGCCTCGGCAGGTTGCCTGCTCGGTGGATCTACCATGCTGAACGCTCTCATGTTTGTCAAGCCCCGAGCTGCTGACTTTGAGGGCTGGCCTAGGGGATGGCAATGGGAAGATGGAGTGTCCGATGCCGCCAAGAGCGTTTTTGAACGTATGCCCGGGAGCATTCTTCCCTCGGCCGATGGAAAGCGCTATGATGATGGTGCCTTTGAGGTTATGTCAAAGTTCCTTGAGAGCAATGGTTGGGATGAAGTCAATGCTCTTGAGAACGTCGAAGCGAAGAATAAAATTTTCACGCATCCTCCTTGGCTGGTAGGTGTGATCCATGTACTTGAGAGAAACCTCTAACATCACTTAGATCAACAATGGACTTCGAGGTGGCCCCGTTCGTGATATCCTACCCGCTGCACAGGCCCTTGACAACTTCAGCTTGCAGCTTCACGCCAAGGTCATCCGTGCTGTTCGCAAGGGTCCCATCATTACCGGCATCGAAGTGGAGCATGACGGCGGTTCTCGTGAGATCATTAAGCTGAGCAAGGGTGGTTCCGTGGTCCTCTCATCTGGCACCCACTCGACACCTCGAATCCTCTTCAACTCAGGCATTGGACCAAAGAAGCAAATCCGCATTGTCCAGTCCGGCTCTACGAACGTCAAGCTCCCCCCTGCCTCTCAGTGGATCGACCTTCCCGTTGGTCAGCGCCTGAGGGACCATCCCATTGTCGTGGTGGATTTCCAGACCAAGAAGAAGCTTCAAGCCCTTCCAAAGGAGGCCTTTACTGAGCCTAACGATGAGACTGTTGAGTTGTTTTCTGAGGGAAGTGGCCTTCTCTCGCAGTCAGCTCAACGTCTTAACTTCTGGAAGAGCGTCGAAGGCAGTGATAGAGTGACCCGCTATGTGCAAGGCACAGTTAACGCCCCTGGGAACAACACCATCTCAGCCAAGGTATATCTTACCCACGGTCTGACATCTCACGGAACCCTCGAGATTACTCCTGAAGGCAACACCAACATCACCCAAAAGCCATTCCTCAATACCGAGGGCGACCGCGATGCTCTCAAGACCTTTGTCGCTGAACTCCTTAGCTACGCGCGTAAGCCTGGTAGTGTTCTGAGTGTGGCTAGCAATGTCACCGCCGACACTATTCTTGAGGTTTCGTACAGTGGTAACCATCACCTCGGGTCCGCTAATATGGGAGCCAACAACGATGGCAAGAGCGTCGTTGGGCCTGATACCCGAGTTTGGGGAACCAAGAACCTGTTTGTTGTCGACGGTAGCATGCATCCTGAAGTTCCAACTGGGAATACCCAGGCTTCCATTATGGTTGCTGCTGCACACGCTGCTAACAAGATCTTGGCCGCTTCCCCTAAGCGACACTAAATGAATATTCATGCCCCTGTGGCCAGGGAAAACTGAAGAGTGTCGAATGTATCAGATGTATAGTATAGTTCTGTGCCCACCATTAAGAAATAGACAAGAGCTAGATATAGAGCTAGCAACTGTTGAGCATCAACCTGATAAAGTCCACGATCGTGTGGTGAAGCAGCCATTGCGTGAAATTACCAAGAGCAAGGCTATAGGACTATCTCTAGCGCCGCTGATCGTGATTCGTAAAATGTTAACTCAAATGGCTTATTTTAGAGCCATCCCGCCAAATACTCGGTCCAATTCTGCCCCTTGGTCTTCTGTCGCATTCGTATTGGTTCCGCTCTGAGTGTTTTGCTGCTCTGGTGCGTTTCCAACACCTTGTTGCTGCACCGGTGTACGCCTCTCAGGCTCCAGCATGTGCATCTCACTATCGAGCCAGCCCGGCGCGACTCTTCTCTTCTCCGCAAGTTCACGCGCCTTGATCTTCTCATCAAATTCTCGGAGTTCACGCTCCGCATCCTCTTGCATTTTGGTCACGTAAGCTTGAAGTGCGCGGCATGAGGCGATGATGTCTTCTGGATGTGCCGCATGACCAGAGTTGGATACCACGTATTTGGGCTTGGTTTGGCCTGCGGGGTTATCTGATGCTGCCTCGATGCCCAAGGACGAGGGTGGGATGTTTGAGGGCATAGTCTTGTAATTATACGAGAGTGTTGTCGCTGTTGGAAGAGACACAAATGGAGAAACCGTCAAAGGGACTTGTTCCAGAAGGGGATGGGATCCTGAGATTGAATTAGCTTGATGTTGTGCGTCGTGTATGAGTGAAGCCTACGCTTGTTGTCGCGCATGTTGGCAATTATACCAATCTGAGGTATTATGATATCGACTCAAGCACTTTTGTAATTTCTTGCAGATATATTTCTCCCGTGATACTTATTGATAGGTACTGTGTACAGAGACGAAGGAATTTGGAATCGTGTAAAGTTGAGTGTGTAAGTCAATTTGAGGTTGAGGTCAAGCGACGCAGTCATCATATGGCGATAAGCTTATCGATAAGACTCTGCCACCGATAAAGCTCTCCCACCTTCGCGATGTACATTTTCTTCAGCTGCCTGGTGAACCCCTCCACCAAACAAACCAGTCTACAGCAAACACCTAGTCATGTTGCCAACGACAATCCGCACACCGCCAAAGGCCGAAGACTACACG